TTCTAAAAATTCTAAAATTCTAAAATTCTAAAAATTCTAAAATTTTAAAATTTTAAAAATTCTGAAAATTCTAAAAATTCTAAAATTTTAAAATTTTAAAAATTCTAAAAATTCTAAAATTCTAAAAATTCTAAAATTCTAAAAATTCTAAAATTCTAAAATTCCAGAAAATTCTAAAATTCTAAAATTCTAAAATTCTAAAACTCTAAAATTCTAAAATTCTGAAAATTCTAAAATTCTAAAATTCTAAAATTATAAAATTTTAAAATTTTAAAATTCTAAAAATTCTAAAATTCTAAAATTCTAAAAATTCTAAAATTTTAAAATTTTAAAAATTCTAAAATTCTGAAAATTCTAAAAATTCTAAAATTTTAAAATTTTAAAAATTCTAAAAATTCTAAAATTCTAAAAATTCTAAAATTCTAAAATTCTAAAACTCTAAAATTCTAAAATTATAAAATTCTAAAATTCTAAAATTTTAAAAATTCTAAAATTCTAAAATTCTAAAATTCTAAAAATTCTAAAATTCTAAAATTCTAAAATTCTAAAACTCTAAAATTCTAAAATTCTAAAATTCTAAAACTCTAAAATTCTAAAAATTCTAAAATTCTAAAATTCTAAAATTCTAAAATTCTAAAATTCTAAAATTCTAAAATTCTAAAAATTCTAAAATTCCAGAAAATTCTAAAATTTTAAAATTGCTAAAATTCTAAAATTCTAAAATGCTAAAAATTCTAAAATTCTAAAATTCGAAAACTCGAAAAGTCTAAAATTATAAAATTCTAAAAGTCTAAAAGTCTAAAAGTCTAAAAGTCTAAAAGTCTAAAACTCTAAAAGTCTAAAAATTCTAAAATTCTAAAATTCTAAAAGTCTGAAAGTCTAAAATTCTAAAATTCTAAAATTCTAAAAATTCTAAAATTCCGGAAAATTCTAAAATTTTAAAAGTCTAAAATTCTAAAATTCTAAGATTCTAAAAATTCTAAAATTCTAAAATTCTAAAACTCTAAAATTCTAAAAGTATAAAATTCTAAAATTGCGTAGAGTCTAAAATTCTAAAATTCTAAAATGCTAGAACTCTAAAATTCTAAAAATTGCTAAGATTCTAGAATTCTAAAATTGTAAAATTCTAAAATTCTAAAATGCTAAAATTCTAAAAGATTCTAAAATTCCAGAAAATTCTAAGATTTTAAAATTCGAAAATTCTAAAATTCTAAAATTCTAGGAATTCTAGGATTCTAAAATTCTAAAACTCTAAAATTCTAAAATTCTAAGATTCGAAGATTCTAAAATTCTAGAAGTTCTAAAATTCTAAAATTCTAAAACTCTAAAATTCTAAAATTCTAGAATTCTAAAATTCTAAAATTGTGAAACTCTAAAATTCTAAAATTGTGAAATTCTAAAATTTCAGAAAATTCTAAAATTCTAAAATTCTAAAATTCTAAAATTCTAAAATTCTAAAATTCTAAAATTCTAAAATTCTAAAATTCTAAAATTCTAAAATTCTAAAAATTCTAAAATTCTAAAATTCTAAAATTCTAAAACTCTAAAATTCTAAAATTCTAAAATTCTGAAAATTCTAAAATTCTAAAATTAGTCATTTTAGAGCTCAAAATGCTCTTAAAATTCGAATTTTCAGCCTGACTGAAAAAGACTGAAAAAGCGGATTTTCAGCAATTTTTGCAAAAAAATTGACATTTTTCGATTAAAAATCTAATTTTCTGGCTAATTTTAGGTCAAAAATGACTGCAAAACCGCCATTTTTTGAGTCAAAAAATCGTATTTTTGCCTAGTTTTGCAGCTGAATTACTGTACTTTTCTCGGATTTTCAGCCTATTTCAGCCCTTCCCCCCCCCCCTCCTAAAATACAAACTTCTCGCCGCAATGACATGTCCTGGCGATGAACTTCTCGCTCGTCGCTCCTTCGAATTTCCACCAGAAGACGTCGAAGTAGAAGACGTTGTATTCAAAAAACTGGGATCAGTTTCTGTCGACATATCCTTTTTATCTCTGTTCATCTCTTCGAATTTCTGTTGCACAATTCGCATCGCCTGATTTTTGACACTCGCCACTTCATTGTGCTCCCGGACTCGTTCCTGGAGAAATATTGGGGGTTTCAGGGGACAAAAAAGAAATTGTTGCTTTTGAGCTAAAATGACCTTCTCTAGCCGTTTTTCGCAAGAATTTTGAGTGAAAATCCAATTTTTTGGTTTTAAAATTGGAATTTTTCAGCTAAAAATTGCATTTTCAGCCGATTTTCGGGTATTTTCCTGTCAGAAATCGCAAATTTCAAGCTAAAAACTGCAATTTGAGCCAGTTTTTCAATATTATCAATGATAATAACTGGAATTTTTGAGCAAAAAATCGCATTTTTAGCTGATTTTTTGATTTTTTAGAGCCAGAAATTGTTGATTTTGAGCTAAAAATCGCAATTTTAGTGGATTTTCAGTAATTTGGGGTTTAAAAAAAATGGAATTTTGGGGCTTAAAAATCGCATTTTTATCGATTTTTGATCCATATTTTGTAAAATTCGAAAATTTCAGCTAAAAATTATAAAAATTCATTTTTAAAAGATAAAATCTAGGTTTTAGGGCAAAAATCGGGCGTTAAGACCCAAAAATATAGGTATTTTAGCCTAAAATTTGACTTTTTCGCTTTAAATCGAAAAATGCCCATTTTTGCCCCTCAAAATTAGGCTCTTTCAACCGAAAATTGACCTGAAATTAGCTTTTTTTTAGCTGGAAATTCAGAAATTGCACTCAAAAATCTGTTTTTTTTTGCTCATTTTTGTTCTAAAAAAAGGGTTTTTTCAGCTTAAAATTCCGATTTTTCTCGAGTTTTTTGATTTTCTGGGGGGTTTTTTGGCTCAAAAATCACAATTTTTGACCTGAAAAATCGCTTTTTTCACTCATTTTTCATGCTAACAAACCTGCAAATCCAAAATCTGCCGCTCCTTATCCAATATCACATTGTTCAGGTCAATTATTCGATTATCCTTATAGACCAGCTGCTGATGGACCCGTTCATCAATCGACTTCTCTGGCGATGATTTTTCGGATTTTTCATCCATTTTTTTGACAGTTTTTACCTGAAAAAAAGCGAAAAAATGGGAAAAAATGGATCAGAATTTATTGGAAAAAAGTGAAAAAAAAAGAAAAAAAAATTTTATTTTAAAAAAAAGTGATTTGTACTTAAAATGTCAGAAATCACATGAAAAATTCAATTTTTTAAGTTAGAAACCCCAAAAATTAGTTTGAACACTGATTTTTATCGGAGAACCAGGGGAACAAGACACGTCGGTGCGTCCAACGCGACACTGCTGCCTCGATATCGATTTTTCGGCCTCGGCCGACACATACACTCTTGTTTGCGGTCGAAAGCGGCCCGAATTCAGTCATCATTGACCGGAAAAATCAGCGAATTTGAATCAAAATCTTAATTTTTTACAAAAATCCTGAAAAAAACTCTGAGATACCCCTGTGAAAACCTGAATTTTGAGCAAAAAACTTTTATTTTTCGTATTTTTTGGGCTATTTTAGCAGAAAAAATGGAGAAAAACGGTGAAAAACGAAGGAAATTGACCTCTGAAAACCTGAAAAATAAATGTTGAAAATCCACGTAAATCCACATAAGCCAAAGTCGTGTCGAATTCAAATAACAATTTGAGGGCATGCGCCTTTAAAGTACAGTAACTTAAATATTTTTTGAGGGATTTTCAGCTGAAATTCAGTTTTTTCAGTAAAAAATTCAGTTTTTTCAGTAAAATTAACTGAAAATGGCCAGAAAAAAGTTTAAATTTTTTTTCTGATTTTGTCAGGTCAAAAAAGTCTGGAAATCCCTTTTCCCATCAAAACCCCAAACAAATTTTGCAAGCATGCGCCTTCAAAAAACACCGTAGTTCCCAACAAAAACCGGTCGCTTATCGGCGATTTTTCAGCGATTTTCGCTGTTTTTTCAGATAACAAAGCAGCGGAAAAAAACAAGAAAATTGTGTAACAATTTTTCAAAAAAAAAACAATCAACAATTTTCACAGGAAAGCACCAGAAAACCGGAAAATGTAGTTGTTCTAAAACTTTGTAATTTTTAGGGTATGCGCCTTTAAGGTACCGTAAGAAAATTTTAATTTTGGCGATTTTAAGCCAATTTCAGCTAAATTAAACCGATGTTTTGGGTTTTTTGCTGAAAATAATTAAGAAGAAAGTCTTAAGCAATTTTCTGACATTTTCATTGAGGTTTTTCTGGAAGAAATAGAAGAAAAAAATGTTTTCAACTTTTCACTTGAATAAAAAATATTGGAGTAAGCGCCTTTAAGGTACAGTAAGCCAATTTGATTTTTAGAGCGATTTTATGCCAATTTCAGCCGATTTTTTCGGAATTTTTTGCTAAAATTAAGAAAATAAAGAAGGCTTTAGACAATTTCTAACCTTTTTTCTGGTTTGTTCGCTGAAAAATGTCCGAAAAAAGAAGATAAAATAGTTAAGAAGTGGGTTTGCGCCTTTAAGGTACAGTAAGCGAATTTTTAGCAATTTTGAGCCAATTTCAGCCGATTTTTTCGAGTTATTCCACCTAAAAATGCCTGAAAAAGAACAAAAAAACACAATTTGAATGTTCGAATAAATTTATTGTTGGCAGTGAGTTCAAAGAAATGCTTAACGGCGAGTTCCGTCCTCGAAGAAGACTCCTCCATCGATGGCGCAGTACTTTGGACAGATTCCCTTCTCTCCGGCACCTCCTGGAGTTCCAGCTTGTCCTGGGGCTCCTGGGTTTCCGTCGGCTCCTGGGGCTCCTGGGTTTCCGTTTGGTCCCTTTGGTCCTGGGGCTCCTGGCTGTCCATCGTGTCCTGGCTGTCCTGGGGCTCCTGGTGGTCCTTGTGGTCCGGCTGGTCCAGCTGGTCCTGGTGCTCCTGGGGTGATTGGCTCGGATGGGGCGTCTTGTCCTGGCTGTCCTGGGGCTCCTGGGGCTCCTGGGTTTCCGTTTGGTCCAGATGGTCCCTTGTTTCCTGGGGCTCCTGGCTGTCCGTCGTTTCCTGGGGCTCCTGGGTTTCCGTTGGCTCCGGCATCTCCGGCTGGTCCTGGTGGTCCTGGTGGTCCGGCTGGTCCGGCTGGGCATGGCTTGCATGGTGGTGGGGTGACTGGCTCGCATGGCTGCTGTGGTGGGCGTCCTGGGTTTCCTGGAAGTCCTGGTGCTCCTGGCTTTCCTGGACGTCCTGGCTTTCCTGGGGTTCCGGCTGGTCCGGCGGCTCCTGGAAGGCAGCAAGCGTCGCATCCTCCGGCAGAGGCGGATCCTCCGGAGACTCCAGCATCATATCCAGCTTGACGGGCGGTACGGTTTCCGGCTGGAATGGCCTTGAGATGGTTGACCTCGGACCAGATATCCTTGGCGGATCCCTTGCAGAAGTTGATCTCAGAGTGCATGGTTCTCTTCACATGGTGGACGTAGTTGTACACCATTGGAAGGGTGACGCATACCTGGAAATTGGGAAAATTGAAATTGGCGTCCAATGGGTCCTAGAGTCCTCCTAGAGGTGCTAGAGGTCTGCAAAGGTCTTGAGAGCCGTTTTGCAAAGGTCTTGAGAGCCTTTTAAGAGTCCTAGAAGTCCCAGAAACCTTCTGGAGGTCTCAGAGGCCTTCCAGAGGTCCCAGAAGCCCTCTAGAAGTCTTACGAGCCCGGAAATCCAGCCCAAAACTAACCGAGATAACGGCAACGACGGAGAAGGCGACGGCCGAGTAGGCGACGAAGCGGTAGGCTTTGATTCTTTGTTCGAGATCCATTGCGAGATGGGAACTGAAGAATCCTAGGTTCTGGGCCTTCTTTTATACCCGGCCGTCTTACCTGTCTTGTTACCGAAATGGGCGGTCGTACAGGTTTACAACCTCCCCTAGTTTTTTTTTGTTTGTGTGTCTTCTTCTTCTGAAGAAGAAGAAGAATAATGAAAAAATTGGCAAGGTCGAACCGGCGGCAAGGTGTAACGTAAAGCAAAGCGATGGGCATCTTTGATAGGAAATGAAATAGTGTGTAGATCGAAGAGACGCAGAGAAAACATCAGTTTAAACGCGGAAGATGCGCCGTGATTTTTCATCAGAATTATCTGATTTCCTACGCCTTCTCCCTTCCCTTCTCAAGGTTAAATTTTAGGAGATCTTCACAGCTTATTAGTTGTTTTCTAACATGGCGCGATTTTGGAGGTATTTGAAGGTCTTTTACCTAATACGGAAGTATTAGGTTGATTAGTAGTAGTAGTGATCACAATGGAATGTTCTAGAGATTCGATGCATTCCAAAAGGTACAGTAGTATCTTACAATTGTCTGGGAATTTTGAAACTTTCAGATTATATAGAGGAAGAATGGAGCTTCAATTTTGTAATTGACAACTTTTATCTAGCTACCCTAGTTTTTGAGGTATGCGCCTTTAAAGTCAACGTAATGACTGCGCCTCCTCGCCGACTAGCTTGAAGGACTGTTGACTTTAAAGGCGCGTATCTCAAAAACTATAGCAGTAATCCGGCATTTGAAAACTACATAAATGTAGCTCTTAAAATTCTACACATTTTGTAATTGGCTAGGCTAAGAGATGTGTAGGATGGAGAAGACAACTTGGATAACTGCGATAAGTGAATTGTTTATAGAAAGGGACCTGAAATAGACTAAGAAGACAGCTATGGAAACTAAATATGTTTTATTGAATTTTGGAGAAAACGTACAGGGTGTGTCTGCCGCGTTAAAACTCCAGATGTGACTGCTTGAATTATGGGACACGTCTTACATTGGAAAGGGGATTATATGATGAGAAGAGAAGGGTAGTTCTGCTTTCTGAACATCATAAGAAGAAGAGAGTAAAAATATCAGATCTGCGTAGTACGAGTCCTCTGCTATGACGACGGACTCGTTTGGGGGCTTTTCCACGGTGGATCGGTCCCATCTGCGTTAAAAGAATCTGCAATAATCTGCGAAGAAACAAAATCTGTCAGTACACGTCTGTTCCGAGACAGAACTCGCACCAATTTTTGCAAAGGAAAGTGAAGTTATGAGTCTGCCTTCCGACAAGAAATTCCAACTAAAAGGGCCTAAAATTATGCAACAAGTGCGCTCCTTTTCGACCGACGAGGGAGTGTGGCGGCGACGGAGAGCGGGAAGAGAAACGGCGCGTCGGCGCGAAATACGAAAACAAGAAGTTGAGCTTGACGGGAGAATTTGTAATTAAAATATAAAACAAGATAATGGAAAACTGGGAAGGGTGAGCTGCGGATCTGCTAGGGGACCTGCTTAGCTCTGCTGACTTTTTATTTGCTAGCAGAGAATCGTGTTGTTGCCATCTTCTGTCCTGCAGTCTTAGACGTGCTGCTTAGTCTGTTGTGTACTGATTTGCAAGAAGACAGATCATAAAGTGGCTTTTCTCGCAGGGCCCGCTGCTTTTTTTTTGCTCCTTTTGCTCTGTAACTTTGTTCATAGATAAGATACAGTATTTCAAATGATACCGTTTTGTAGTACTCGTGGAGCTCTATCATACCTGATTGAGTTGGTTCGAAAACATTGATTCTGAAAGAAGTTATGGCAGGGCCCGCGAAGGCCCGGCAAAGGCCCGGATTACAAGTATGCCCAAAAAGTTTTCAGTTTTCATTCAGTTTTGAATTCTCAAAAAGATGAAAACCTTTCTTCTATGTTTTTCTTCTCATTCCCCAATCTTTGACAATCATGAAAATGATTCAAATTTTTGAAAAAGTGACATATGGACCATTTCCTATGCCATTTCCTTCTGTGAACTGTGCATCGGAATGTTTCAATCTGGATTACTGTATCTTGTCTTGGCGACCTTTAAGTGGGTGTTGCTATCATTATAGCTACGTGAATCAACCAGATACTATAACATTTGTGGAGACAGGAAAAGGGGAAAATAGTATTATGGCTTTTAAGGTTAGTATAAATAGATCGGGTATATTTAGGGAACTATATGAGCTAGAAAAAACTGTAAACTTTTAAAAAACTATCGTAAAATTTCACACATTTTAGTAGTTTACAGCTTTTTAATAGCTATTACGGTTCGCGAGATATGCGCCTTTAAAAATTGAACAAATTGAAGAAGCTGCGCGCCGACGGAGAAGACGCAGAGAAGCGAGAGCGTTCTCGTTGTCTGCATCTCCTCAAAACGTTAAACGCGAATATCTTGCAAATTGTATCAGCTATCGAAAAGTTGTCAACTACAAAAATGCATCCAATTTTATGCTCTTAATTTTTGCAGTTGACCAAATTTCTCTAGCTTTATCAGTTTTTCCCAAAAAAATTTTAAAAAGTAGATCGCGCGAAATTAAGAAACAGAGACGAAATTCATAAAAGTCTCGAAAATTGTTTAACTTAAAGATTTTAACACTGAAAAATACACTAGAGTAAACTAAATCAATTTTAACAGATCAATTCTTTAAAAATAGGAGAGTTTGCGTGTCTGCCCCTTGCGTTTGTGATCTTGTTTGGCGGAGCTTTCTGAAATCTGGCAATTTAGAGGCTCTTCTAGCTGTTTAATTTCCAGACCATCATAACGGGCACCACTTGCCCAATAACCTACACTGAAATGAATTTCACAATGACCATTCCAACTGATGACACTTATTCTTGGAAGAAAATTGGCAATTCCTGGGGTCTGAATGGATTCAGAGATGGATGGACACGATTTAATAGAACTTCTGGTATTTCTGTATGTATGAAAGCGTTCAATGTCCCAAATCTTTGGCGATCTACTGCGCTTACATGGTGTGAGCAGGAAAATGCTATCTTCGTTGGGATGGCTTCGATAGAGGAGAGTCAATGGGTTCATGGTAAAACATGTGTAAAGTGTTTTTTTCGAAACATTTGAATTTATAAACAGACCAACTGGACTCGTCATACAATTATTATGCTTACTGGGTGGATGGTACTCTAATTTGCTCGACTACTTGTAATGTAGGTTTTGAAGACGCGTATCTCAAAAATTATGATAGCTAGCCAAAATGTGTCAATTCCAAATATGTAGCCCATAATCTTTTACACATTTCAGTGAAAAGCAATTTTCCGATAACAATTATAGCTTTCTAGATATGCGTCTTTAAAGTTTAGCGCATGCTAAGGTAGATGCAGACGGCGAGAGTGCTCTCGTTTCTCTGCGTCTCCAACGTCGCATAGTTCAAAATCGACAAGAGCTTAACAAAAAGCCCTTCTTACAGTTCTCAATGTTAAACTACACTGATGGATTCACAACTGGAAGTGCTGCTCTTGAAACCACCACCAATGTTCATTTCGTACCGGGAGGGTATCGAACTTTTGCAAAAATTCAGTTGAAAGATTATAAATTTTCAGGAACTACGACCATTTGTTGTATTTAGGAGTAACTACGCTACACAATGTATCCTGCAAGTGGTGGATCTCCTGCTGATGGAGTAGTTTGTGGATATCAATTGAAAAATTAATGTTGAAATCGAATAAAAAATTATGTGTTGTTTTGAAAACACTTTATCTCAGAAATGAAAAAAGCTACACAGGTGGATCGCGCAGAACACTATATGGGCGCATTGTGGCCCATACTGTGAATGCGCGCATATAACGTTCGTTATGCCCTCTATATGGGCTGGTGGTTGCTGGTGGGCGGTGGTGGGCGTCGAGTAAGCAGGGAAAGCATATGCCCAGTCCGTGCTCGCATATAGGTTCCATATTCCCTCAACATTCTAATCGAGTGCAAACCAAACTGTAAACTTCGATCCCATATATATCATTTCCTGTAAAAGATATCAGAAAATGATCAACTGACAAATAATATCAAAAACATTATGTCAGTTAACAACTTTTTGATATCTTTCACAGGAACCCAGATAAATTAGCTCTATTAATTAGCAAGTTGAAAGTTAAAGGGGAAGGGGTGGATCCTTCTATAATGTGTCTTCACGGAAACCTGATGGCATTTACAGAACATGTAAATGCTTTTTGCAGAAATAATAGCTTGAAACTTTTCTCTTGATATTCTCAGGATAAAATTTTTGGTTCCCTAAGAATTGTATTTATGACTGTTGACTATCGAAAAATAGTGTTATCGGGGAAAAGTAGTTAACCAAGACAGATGATCGGAAAACATATACAGCTGCTGGATTTTAGGCTTGGAATTCCATTAAACTTGATGAAAATTTTGTCTTTGAAAAGTTCAACATTTCCTGCAGGCTGTGTTGCGACGTTTACTCCAAAAAAACCTGTCAAAATCCGAATTTTATGTTACCATAAAATGCCCTTATGCTCTGCCTGCTTATTTTACATCACAATATTCTATATTTCCACATGAATCGGATTTTTTTGCCCATTTAATTTGGTAATTCCGCTGAAATAGTACACAACGACGCTCCGATATCCCGCATCCCGCGTTGTTTACCGTAAATCTACACTCAATTTTCGAAGAATTTGCAGATATTTTTGCCTATTTTTGTTCGATTTTCTTTGATTTTTTACGATTTCACAGGTTTTTTTTACAAATTTTTCACTTGCGAACTCATTTTCATCGCTTCTAGCCGTTTTCCTCGGGTTTCTACACATAAATTCCTGAAGAAATAATTATTTTAGGCCCACCGATGGATTCCAACGCCTCGCATGTCTACCTAAAGCTAAAAACCAGAAGTTTTCTGCGGATAGCTACAGGTAAGAAACATGCATGACATTCAGTTTCTCACTGACTTCATTTTTCAGAAGCAGAGCTCAGAATTCGGTGACAACTAAACCCTTCACCGTCTCCACTGGCCACACGACAAGTGAAAGAAACAGCACCGACAGAAAAACGAAAAGGTTAGCGAATTTTGTGTTTGAAACGCTCGAACATAATTCGATAAAAGAACACCTGCGAAATTGTTTTGACTGAACTTGCAAAGAGCATTCTACTCTTGTTTCTATGACTCCAGTTCTTCGGAGCTTTCGAAACATGATGAAAAACGTGCCAACACGAAATTCAGCTCTCTCAATAAATCATGTATACGAATTTGCAAAAGCAGCTTCGTTTTCTAAGTACTAGGCTTGACAAATTTTCGCTGTGAATAAGTAAAACTATCGAAAATTTTCAAAATATATTCAGTTTTTCAGAAAAAAAAACAACCAAGAGCAACTTCTCGATTGGACTTTCGTCTAATGGATATGAAGAGGGAGAAATGCGACGAAAATATCGAGTCCAAGGAGCCAGGAGACAAAAATGTTAATTTTTTATTTTTATGTTATTTTTACTTCATTTTTTGTCATTTTTATTAATTTTCAATAAATTTGTACTGGTAAACACTATTTTCAGTTCACAGAGAATATTAGGACCTGGGGGAGGGGAGGAATTGCTGGGCGGCGGCGTGGATCCTATATGCTTTAGTCGGCGCGTGGATCCTATATGCTCGCATAATGGGCTCCTATATGTTTCGTATTGCGAGCATATACTGCATAATTGCTATCAAGAATTTGCCAATTATTAAAATATCTAAAATTTTAAGAGCTACATTTCTGTAATGATCCATTTTTGGATAGCTATCATAGTTTTTGAGATATGCGCCTTTAAAGTTAGCTCTCCATAAGGCAAGTCGGTGACGAGACGCAGAGAAGCGAGCGCGCTCTCGGGGTCTGCGTCTACTGCGCTCAATTTTGAAAGCGCACATCTCAAAAACTACAGTAGTTATAGAAAAATTGTTAATTAGTAAAATGTGTAAAATTTTTAGAGCTACATTTTTGACATGCACAACGTTTTGGTAGCTACCGTAGTTTTTGAGTTATACCTTTTCAAAGTTAACTGTCTTTGGGGCAAGTAATCTGATTGCTGGAATTTTGAGGATCTCCGCAAGATTGACGAGAAGGTCAAATGTTTATTTTTTCAAAACAAAAAAAACTTTTGAAAAATCAAAAAATCTTAAATTTCACCCAATTTTTGAATCGTTGAAAAATCCCAATCCCTGTTTTTCCTTCTCGATTTTTCTCTAATTTCCGATTTCTTCGTTTCAATTTCGAATTTCTTCCTTCCAAGTACAACAAAGCGTTTTGAGCAAGAGCAAGCTCTTCTTTGAGCAACCAGTTTTGTAGTCTGGAATTTTTTGGTTTTTGATGGCCTAGAAAATTCTATACTGAGTTAGAAACCCAAAAAAGTCATAAAACTTACCTTATATCCTCCAATTCCTCTTGAAATTTGACCATTTCAGCCACAAAAAACTCGAAAAAACCAAAAAAAAAAAAGAATTTTTGGTTAGATAACAAATAACAAGAAAAAACAATAAAACACACAAAAAAGTGGACCAGGTTGTATAGGAAAAAGAAGACAATAGATGACGTTGACCCCTCTAGAGGTTTTCGCACCTTTCTTACTAGCGTATCTGCGTCTCTCATCCTCTCATTGTATCTTGCCTTAAAGGCGCATATCTACAAAACTACGGTAGCTATCAAAAAATGGGCTATTACAAAATTATAGCTCTTGAAATTTTACACATTTTACTTGTCGACAACTTTTCGATAACTGACATAGTTTTTGAGATATGCGCCTTTAAAATGGAGCTCTGTAGACGCAGACCTCTGCGTCTCCTTGCCGACTTGTCTCATGGAGAGCTAACTTTAAAAGCGCATATCTCATAAACTATGATAGCTATCCAAAAATGGATCATTACAGAAATGTAGCTCTTAAAATTTTAGATATTTTAATAATTGGCAAATTCTTGATAGCAATTATAGCTCTGGAGATATGCGTCTTTAAAGTTGAGCTCACACTCTCACTTCTGCGCTCAACTTGTAATGTTAAAAGGCGCATATCTCAAAAACTATGTTAGCTTTCAAAAAGTTGTCGATTACAAAAATGTAGCTCTTAATATTTCACACATTTCTGTATTAGAAAAAATCCCGAAAAACAATTGAAAAATTCATTTACACAAGAATGTTTCAATATTTCAACGCATATCCACAAACGTATCGTTATAGCGTATCAACGCAATCGCAGTAAACGTTAGTTATAGTTTTTGAAGGTGCTTCTTCCATATAGAAGACAGAAAAACAATCTTCTGTACCTTTTGATTCATGATAATTGGTGGAGGTGTTCAAAGCATCGAGACTCTTGGTGTAGTAATCAAGCCAACGGACATTCTGAAAAGTAGTTTGCTTTAAAGGTGCATATCTCAAAAACTACTGTAACTACTAAAAGTTTGAATGTTGCAAACTGTAGGTATTAAAATTTTACATATTTTTGTAGTTAATCATTTCTTGATAACTATCGTAGTTTTTGAGATATGCGCCTTTAAATTCGACTCCTCTGTTATGCGCTTCGAGCAGCCAGTGTCGGCGCCTCCTCACCGCCTTGCCTGGAGTACTGTTAACTTTAAAGGCGCATATCTCCAAAAATATTGGAGCTACTAAAAATTTGAACAAAATGTAGGTATTGAAATTTTAAACATTTTAATGACTAGCAGTTTTCTTCTAGCCACAATAGTTTTTGAGATATGCGCCTTTAAAGTTAGTGTATGCGCCTCCTCGTTGACTTGCCTAAAGGACTGTTGATTTTAAATGCGCGTATCTTCAAAACTACAGTAGCTATCAGAAAGTTTTAAACAACACAAATAGAGCTCATAAAATGCTACACATTTTTGTAATTAAACATGTTTTCCTAGCTACAGTAGTTCTTGAGATATGCGCCTTTAAACTCTTCAACCACTTACACAACTTCCATTTGTATCGCACTCCCGCTTTCCATCAAACCAAAAGGTATACAAATCGTATAACCCCTCTGATTCCATCAATTTTCCGGTAAAATTATTCTGAAATCCTCTATTTTTCAAATAGACTCACCATAAATCCATTTCGACTCTTCCACTGAAGCCACTTAATAATGTTTTTCCCATATCGAAACATTTCTGTACCGAGTCGAGTAGGTTGATTCTTTCATCAACTCGGAAAGTTTGCATACATACAGTAACCCCATCACTTCTTTTAAATCTTTTCCATCCATCTCTACATTCTATCCATTCCCATCCCGATTCGGTTTGATTCCAGAGTTTTAACTTCACCAGATGGAAGACTTAGTGTCAAATTGATATTACCGAAAGAGGGGGCAATTATTATCGGGGAGGTTGACCTGGAAAATTGTAGAGCGAAACTTTTACACATTTTTGTAATTGACGGTTTTTTTGCTAGCTACTGTAGTTTTTGAGATATGCGCCTTTAAAATTTTGTGGTCTCGTTATTACTCTCTTCAGTTCCACAGTAATTCCAAGTCATTTACAGTATACCATGTGAAGAGGACCCCTCTTCACCTGTTTTATCAGATCGCATCATTGTCGTAAAGAAGGTGAAGAGGGGCGGAGTTTTAGGGCCTTCATGGGGGCGGGGCTTGCCAAGGTGCCCCTATATAAGAAGTCCTATTCTCACCATCATCATCTCGTTCTACTCCCACAGCCCCCTAACGCTTCAAAATGGTCCGGTAACTGAATCTGGACCTTTTGAAGCGTGTATTATTGATTTTTCTGATTATTCTTCAACAAAGATCTTCATGGTCAACTGTAGGAACCAGTTTCTGAGGGTTCCCCATCAGCCTAGAGAAGGATGATTGCTGAAAACGAAGGATCAAAAAGCGAGAATCAACAAGAAGAACAACCCATTCCAACCGCCATGTTTCTTCCCAACCTCAACACAAGCTCATCGTCTGCCCATGTCCAAATCAATTGCAATCCGGCTCAATGGATGGAAGGATGCCAACTGTGGAGTTCCAAGGATTCGCCGGCTGTCCTAATCAACCATTGGATTCTCTGTGTTGGGATCAAGAAGGCAATTGCAAAAGAGGCAAAATCATTGGATTCGCTTCATGACACTAAAGATGATGTTGTCTTGTTCATGACCATGTACATCAAGGAGTGTTTCGAGAAGAGAGGATCCAAGTTACGCCGTTCTATCTTCAGCAATTACACCAAGTTGCCAGAAACTCAGGTAATATTGAATGCCCTTTCCCAACGAATACTTCCTTCGTCCAGAACAAGCCACAAATCAATTTTCGAGAATTCGATAGAAATGCCCGTAATGCCGATTCGATCACTTTGAGGACTAATATGCTTAATTGGTTTTTGGACGGGTAATGAGGAGTTTCGTCGTCCCGAGCTGAACATGGATAGTCTAACTTTCTTGTATTTAGCTTTTTATCAAAGAAAATAAATGATTGTTGATTACTCATTGTTGATTTTTGTGTTCGGGATTCTAGTCCCCCAACTTTGGTTTAATAGAATATTCTATTCAAATTTAGAAATTCTAGTCAATATTAGCACAAAATAACACGAAAAACCAAGTTTCTCATCTACTTGTTATGTAAACCAACAAAATTTAAAGACGCTGCCACTTCAAAACCGAGCAGCCCCCCCCCCCCCCTTTTTGGACGTCAGTGTCTCTTTTCTGCGCTTCGAGCAATCAGTGGACTAGCACTGTTGACTTTAAAGGCGCATATCCCAAAAACTACGGTAGTTATCGAAATTTTGTCAACTACAAAATTGAAGCTCTTGAAATTTGACACATTTTCATAGTTAACAACTTTTAGCTAGCTATATATATATATATATACGCCTTTAAAGTAGTGCTCTCGGAGACGCAGAGAAGCAAGAGCGCTCTCGTCGTCTGCGCGCAACTTTAAAGGCGCATATCTCTAAAACTACTGTAAATATCAAAAAGTTGTCGACTGCAAAAATGAAGCTCTAGTTGTGTTTAGTGTACTAAGAGTACTTTCAGACAATTCGAAGACTGAAAATGTCAAAATATGATTCCTTTTTGTAGTTCCCCTGCTTTCAAAGTTTGAAGACGCATATCTCTAAAACTGTAATAGCTATCAAAAAGTTGCCAACTTCAAAAATTTAGCTCTTAAAATTTTACATATTTTCATAGTTATCAACTATTTTCTAGCTCATTTAGTTTTGGAGATACAACGTTTTTAGAATAACTTACTTTAAACGAAACCTTGCTTCCAGAACTTTTTCTTCTTATCATTAACTGATTGCCCTGTTCCAAGTAACTGAGTTCGAGACATTTTGAAGTGTCATTCACTGTCAAAATACAGTAATCCGCATCCAAACTATGTTGATCACAAGTCTCATCCTCTTCTGGTATGTAAGGAATTTCATTTGCATAAATGATCGATCCGAATTCTTTGATCATTTTTTGGGTGGACTCTGAGGGTATAGGCAGTTGAAATAGGAGAAAAAAAAATAGATCAGGGAAACGGGAGACATTTTGAAATGAGCCAGAAAAGAAGGAAAAAAGTTTTGCAAATGTTTAGAGGCAGTCATAAGACTTTGGCCGATTTTATGTGAGATCAAAAAAAGGCGCCGCAGGCTCCGCCCCTTTCTATTTGTTTTAAATAAAAAGTTCAAATGATATCTTGAGAAGAAAACGAGAAACATTTCGAAATGAGCCATAAAAGAATGGAAAGAAAGTTTTGAGGGTTTTAGAGGAACCCATAAATTCTTCAGACCGCTTCTATGTGTGTGGGCTCAAGTGGTCCAAAGGAGAAATGTGTCTACTCTGGTTTTAAGCTCATGAGCAACTAGGATCCTGTCGCAAGCGGCCACGCGCTGTGTGAACACCGATCACTGTACAACGCCACGTCAGAATGCATACTGTAACTCCAAAAAACTCCGAACTCAAGTGTGCACTAAAAACCCAATAACAATTGAAACATTTATTGATTCAATGAAATTTCAAAACGGTATCACTTCAGCTGGTATCCACAACGTATCCCTGTGCAGTGTCCGTTTCACACGAGGTATACGTTCTTTCTCTCTCAGCGTTTTTGACATACTCACATATTTGGGCACAGAAGCTGATCTACAATCCAGTAAGCGTACGAATCATATGAGTTCTCTTCCCCTATCTCCGTTAACTGTTCTGAAAAACACTTCGAGTATACCCTTTTTTTTCAGAACAACTGACCATAAATCCAATTTGTCTCCTCATCTGAAACTAATCCAGTTAAATTGGTTCCGATTTTATTGCACTTGGTTAGGGAGTCATTTCGCTTTATTCCTTCATCAACTTGGAAAGTTTGCATACATATAGTTTTCCCATCGCTTCTTTCAAATCTTTTCCAAGAGGATGAGACTTGTGATCAACATTGTTTTGATGCGGATTACTGTATTTTGACCATAAATAACACTTCTGAATGCCTGGAATTCAGTTATTTGGAGCAGGACAATCGGTTTGTCATAAAAAGAGAAAGTTCTGGCAGCAACGTTTCGTTTAAGGTTGGTCATTTGAAAAGCATTGTATCTCACAAACTACAGTAGATAAAAAAGTTGATAACTATGGAAATGTGTAAATATTAAAGAGCTTCATTTTTCCAGTTGATGACTTTTTGATAGCTACGATAGTTTTTGAGATATGCGCCTTTAAAGTTACGCGCAGACGACGAGAGCGCTCTTGCTTCTCTGCGTCTCAGAGCGCACGGATTTAAAAGCGCATATATTGCAAACCGTCAGAGCTAGAAAAAGGTTGTTAGCTATAAAAATGTGCAACATTTTATGAACTTTAATGTTGTAGTTGACAACTTTTTGATAGCTACAGTGGTTGAGGTATGCGCCTTTAAATTTAATATAAATCAACGGAAAAACGCAGGCACTGAGGAGAGATGTTGACTTTGAAGGCGAATATCTCAGAGAATAAATTGGCTAGGAAAAAAGTGTGAACTCTATTTTCCAGGTCAGCCTTCCTGACAATAATTGCCCCGCTTTCAATGAAATCAATTATACACTAACTCTTCCATCCGGTGAAGTCAAATCCTGGAATCAAGCAGAATCCGGATGGGAGTGGAAAGAATGTTGAGATGAATTGCGGAATCAAAGAATGGGAAAAAGTTGTTTGAAGATTTTAGAGGAAGTCGTAAACTCTTTGACCGTTTCTATGTGAAACAAAACATTAAAAGATGTGCCCGCAGGCTCCGCCCCTTTTTATTGGGTTTTACGAAATATGTAGCTAATTTTAAGTAATTGATTTGATTTCAAATAATCTCGAGATCCTGAAACAATTGAAAAATTCATTTACACGCGCATTTTTCAATAAATAGACATCATATCAACTGGTAACCACAAACGTATCCTGCGGGATTTTTATGATCAATACAAGAACAGTCGTTTATAGTTTTCGAAGGCGCTGCTGTCATATAGGAAACAGCAAGACAATCTTCTCCGCCTTTTGATTCATGAAAATTGGTGGAGGTGTTCAAAGCATCGAGACTCTTGGTGTAGCCATCAGACCAATCGAATTTCTTAAAAATAGGTCACTTTGAAAGCGCATTTCTCAAAAACTGTTGTAGTTATCAAAAATCTATAAACTATGAAAATGTAGCTATTGTAGTTTTTGAGATATGCGCTTTTGAACTCCCCAACCACTTACGCAATTTCCCAATGAATCGCACTGTCGTTGTCCATCAATCCAAAAAGAATACCAATCTGTTACACTCCCCGACTCCAATAGTTTTCCTAAAAAGTTCGGTTTTTTGTAACAAGAGGTGTCATGAGAAAAGTTTTAATTTCTCGCCCTCTCTTCCTCTGCCCACCACGCTTTACTGTGGTGAAACCAAGGAACGTCTCCAGAAGACTTCAAAATCAAAATTTCGAAAAACGAATGGTCGGGCATCAACCAAGACACATTTCTGATCTATCTGTCCAGGTTTCAGCTCAATCAGTTAACTTTAAATGGGTGAAAAGGCACGCGACATACATCCGGATATACGGAATTTGGGGAATGTTATTAGTAATAATGATAGGGAAGAAACTAACCATAAATCCATTTTGACTCTTCCACTGAAGCCACTCCAGTTAATTTGGCTCCAATTTCTTCGCATTTAGTTTTTGAGGCACCGCGAGTGATTCCTTCATCAACTCGGAAAGTTTGCAAACATACAGTAGTCCCATCACTTCTTTCAAATTTCTTCCATCCCTGTCTACACTGCTTCCATTCCCATCCGGATTCGGTTTGCTTCCAGTTTAGAACTTCACCGGATGAAAGATTTAGCGTATAATTGATTTCATTGAGCGGGACAATTATTGTCGGGGAGAGTGACCTGAAAAAACCTAGATAAGGCAGTTATCCTAGCTTTAAGTGGTTGAACGTGAGTTTTCACAGATTTACAAACTTTTCGCTAGCTCTTCTTGTTTTTGAGATAAAACGTCTCAGAGATGATTACATTTAAAAAATGGTTTACCTTGAACGAAATTTTGCTTCCAGAAGTTCCTCTGTCAATTATAAATTTGATGTTCCGATCCAAATGATTAAGTTCTAGGCATCCCACTTCCAAATTAGAGGCATTCCTTGTCAAAATACAGTGATCCGTTTCAAAACAATGTTGTTCGCAAGTCTCATCCTCTTTTGGTTGGTAATATGTATTACGTGCTGAATGAACTCTTCCGAATACTTTGATCATTTTTGTTACTGGTCCCTCAAAAATAGGGAAATAGTGATCACTTTCATTTTCCGAATCTTCAACGGTTTGCGTAGGGGTCGGGAGAAGAAATCCAGGCAATTGAAACATGAGAAAACGGGAAAATAAGGAAACGGGAGACATTTCAAAATGCGAAATGAAAATATGAAAAAAAAGTTTTTTGAGGATTTTAGAGGCAGTCATAAATACTCCTGTCGTTTCTATGCGTAGGCTCAAGTGGTCTGGAGGAGAAGTGTGTCTACTGTGGCTTTAAAGGGGGCCAGACAGACAGCAAAATTTTCGGGGAAAATTTCAGGGAACGTGTGATTTGCCGTCGCGGTGTTCGCACCTAAAGCACGCAATCCGACGCGCAAACTTTTTTTTATTTTTTTATTTTCCGACTTCATTGTTCCAAATTTTAAACGACTTTACAACTTAAAAAAGCGGTTTTTTTGTAATTTATTGTAAAAATCATATAAAATAGATTTTTTTTTCGTAAATTTCCGGTTCAGTCGAATGATTATTTTGTCAGTGGCCGGTTTTTTCTAAAAATATGCAAAAAAAATTTTTTTTCTCCCATTGCCGTTTCGTCTTTCTTTCAACTGGTATTTTTCGTCTCATTATTACTCCGAAAATGAAAACAATACAGTATGCTTCATGAATGAGGTTTTCAGCAACGCCTTCACATCTTCTGCTCACCTTGCGACGAAAAACTCGGAAGGAAACAAATTATAATTAGGCACCGCAATGAAAGGGGGCGGGGCGACCAAATTTTTCTCCCCTTTTCAGAAATCCATCTTTGAAGGCTTGTACCGGGCGTTAGAAACCCATTATTTTTTTGGTGAGAACTTGTCCCTATGTAATCGACTACGCTGAATCCAATGAAATTATCAGTTCTTCGATAACTTTATTATTTTGATTCGAAAACTTCGAAAAATAGAAGTGGGACTGACAAAGTGGACTAAAAGTGTTGGATGGAAGTTCGCGCCATTAGATTTTTTAATGGATTCTGATAGTTTTTGAACTGGGGGATTGGATTTTGAAATAAAATCAAAATTCTAACGACGCCCTTGTTTCACAATTTTCAGCCAAAGTTCCAGCTAAAATAAATAAAAAATTTCAGCGATGACCCCAATTTTTTTTTGCATATTATGGTAAAACTAAGTCTTGTGTATACTTCTGCCAATTTTCAGAAAGATTGAATACCTCTAATAGTTTTGATACTCATCCGAAAATTCCAAACTTTCAAAATTTTCAGTTTTTGGAAGTTTTGAAGGTGACACAGGTGAGCGCCACCGATTTTCTTTTCACCATAAGATTCTACGCAAAATTTGCCACTAAGAGCAATTATAATTAAAAAATTCTATCGACGCCCTTAATGTGTTATACGTCTGTTTCCTTATCTATCATGGAACAACTTGTAAAAAATAGGAAAGAGGCAACACCGGAAGGAGACGGCAGGCAATGAAAAGTCGTCCTTTCCTCACTCTCATCTATTGCTTCCAAGAGAAGTGCAGCGGTGGCAGACTGGTTAGTGGGCGCGCGCACCGATCTGAAGACCGAAGTTCGCATCTCCCATGGGGTTTTTTTGTTTTTTTTTTCCTTTTTTCAATGGGCCACGGTGTTTGCACAAAACAGAAAGTACCGTAGTAATTCAGAAAGTTTGTGATTTTGTTGTTTTTACTATAATTATAATTACGATATGTCTGATTCATCTTCAAAAATGGATCCTGAGCCCCCAGAAAAACGGAGGAAAGGAGGTATTGTTAATATTTTAAAAAATTACATGTTATCATCGCTATTTATTTCAAGGAACCCCAATTCGCCCCAACGAAGAACGAGCCGAGTCTCATCGAGTATTTCTACAAGACTACGGTTTCAACGATCAACTCGAGCCTACAATACAAGTTGATGAAGTCACGAACGAGGTGATTGTTGCACTGTTTTGTCTCTCAGTTTCGTTTTCTGAGATTGAGAAAAAAGTTATGAGGTATTTGGGAGTCCCTGATTCACGAGGAAACTTGGAAAAGACGAGGAAGAAACTGGCGAGCATTCGGATGGATTGGAATAAAAGAAGGAAAAGGGGAGAAGATAAGTATTTGAATTTTTTGAAAAATTGTGCGTTTGATAAGTCTTTTTTTTGCGCTGACGAAATTCAAGAAAATGCTGTTTCTGACAAGTTTCAAAAAAGGATTACTGTAGATCACGAAATAACTGGCGCAGTTATTGGAAAACCTGAGCTTCGAGTTTCTGAGGCACAAACAGAAATTTCGTGTGATGCAGCTGCCGAATACATATTTTTGAGTCAAAAAACCTATCAGAACTGCAAAGACGAATCTTCTCGGCTGAAAAAAAGGTACAGTACTCGCATTAACTCAATGCGACACTGGCAAATGTACAACAATAACCGAATTCTGAAAGCCAAAATTTCCAATAAATCATCGAGAATAGCTGAAATTTCGATGCAAAAAATTCAAAAAAATTTCGATAAAAAATTTGCTCAGCTAAAGACAGTGAAAGACGTCTTGAAAGAAACAGAGGCAGTACTTCAATCGGCTCTTGCGAAAATTGACAATACGTCAAATGTAGTAGACCTGAAAGAGGGAAAATCGTATTCTAACAAGACGTTTGAAACTGTAATCCGTCTGAAATCCCTTGGTGTAGCTGACGAAAAAGTTGGAGAAGTAATGGAAGTTGTCGGTAATTTAGTTGGTGTCACTTTTGAAACGCTACCATGCCCTTCTACTTGTCGAAATTTTGCATTATCTTCTCTGTATCTTGGACGGAGCCACGTCAAAAGACGACTCGATGTTTTTTTGGAAAGTGATGACTCTTTGTGTCTAGCTTCTGATGAAACTACAAAGGGAACCGCGAAGCTCCAAGCTTTTGGAATTCACAGTCCAGACGGTAATTTTACTTGTCTCGGTGTACAGCCGGTTGCTGAAAAGTCTGCCGAGACCGCATTCAATGCGCTGGAGCATCTGATCAACCAGCTTCCAGAGGTTCCGAGAGATTTTTTCAAGAAGCTTCTTTTTAAAATTACGTGCACCATGTCAGATTCCGCTAGAACCGAGATTAAGTTTAATGGGATCGTCGAAGAAGCGAGAGCAAAAGCGGTTCCTGAAATTGTTAGTGATTTTAATCAGTTGTCGGATACAGAGAAATCGTCGTTCTTCCAATTTTCCCAGTTTTTCTGCCAGCTACATGTACTGGCTAATTACACTGATGTTGTATTGAACTGTATGTTGGGATACGAAGTTCTGGAAACTGGGAATAATAAATTGGGAGAAGCTTCAGTATTCGGTTTAATAAAATTAGTCAATTGTTCGGCCAGCGGGGATCCGGACTGCACGGAATCCTTCAGATCTGGGAAGCTTGGTGTAAGAAGCATAACATTTGTCGTTTCCCGTTTCCTGCTTTTCATGGAAACCGTTTCAATATCGTTTTTGTGCTTGCATCCAGAGTCTTTTTCCACCGATTTCATCTGATCGAGTTCATTAAAGAATGTGATTGTTCTAAAGTTCAGCTTAACGAAGTTGGGAAATCGCTTGAGAACGAAATGGTCATCGACCATTTACAAATTCTTGGACTCTGTGATCAGTTGATTACTGGGCCTTTGTGGAGATTGGCAGAAGGAAGTGAGCACATTTTCGATACTTGTAAATATGCCGAGCAGTTGCGAAAGTGGTTAGAAGGCTGCGCGAAATCACCTATCGCTTTCTTTGATGGGTCTTCACCTACTCCTAATTTACAAGAATCTAGTCCGACAAACTCCACCTTGTTGTTGGAAGCACTTCTTCGTAGGGACCCAAAAGAAACGACTTGTGATATCGCTGAAGCAGTCTGTAACTCGTCTCTCGTGTATTTTGATAAATCATTTGCTAACTTCCTTTCGGGAGGGAAACATTTCATCAATCAAAATGAAATGCGAAAGAGTACAGAGGCCGCCCCAGCAACTAATCGAAATATTGAAGCAATGTTTGGTCTAATGTCCCATTATTACGATACCAAGCCCAATATGCGAGTTGACGTGAGAACGGCTTTTACAATGCTCAAGAAAAATGACAGTTTTACATGGCTTCAATCTTTGCCGGAGAATGAACAGAACGAAATCTTGAGCAAGTCCAGAGCGGCGTTAAAATCTCTGAAAAAAGACGCTTCTCACCGTCAGTTAGCTATTGAGATTGACATTTTGCGACAAATGAAAGAAAAAAACTTGATTGCTGCAAGGAAACAGGTGAAGGAAGAGCGGGACAGATTCAAATACACACACGACATTCTCTCTATTGGGTTCTGGGCTAGTTCTAGTGATGTTTCCGCTGGTCTCGCAAAATTGAGCACTGAAAAACAGAAAAGAGAGGCCCTCACCTCTCAACTACGATTCAGAAAATGTGTTATTAAACAGTCTGCTGCTGCTCCTATGTTTTCAGCTTCCGCCAAGTCAAAACCTCTGCCTCTTCGAGAGCTCATCGAAAAACTGGAAGCGCTGATCAAAAATCAACACCTTTCGCAGCAGTTACTGTTAATGGACCACGAATACGTCGGGAAACGAATCAACCAGAAGATTTCGTCAAAACGATCAAAAGGCGGCTTTGTTGAAGATATTCGAATCGTCGGAGCGACCAAGACCATTCGAGTGCTGTTCGACGGCGACAGCGATCCAACATCGATGAATTTCGATGATTTTGAGGGAAAACTTGAAGCAGAATCTATTGTTTTTGTTGTCTAATTTTTTTCGTATTATAGTTTGTTATGTTAGATGTTAATTTTGAGCTTTCGTTTGGTTTTTCTAGGTGCTAGACCGAATACCGAATATGAGAGCGAATTTGGAGACAGAATCAACGTGAAAAACCGGTTTTTTCTTTTCGAATTTCACCAAAAACTTTCTGAAATTTTGCTAAAATCTTTCACTTTTTGTTCAAATTTTTTTTAATCGAAAACAATTCGTATCGAATCTTCCACGATCAATTTTCTGCTAATTTCTTCCGTTTTCTGTTGTTTCTTCTCCTTTTCCGCGCTAAATTCGATATTTGGGTCTGAAAATCAATAAATTATAGTAAAATTTTGAAGTCTGAATGTTATAAACTTATTCTTTTCGTTTTTTTACCCTAAAAACTGCTTTTCCGACAAACCAAGATGCGATTTTGATGAAAAAACAGCGCTCGGAATAGCGCCACAATGAAACCGCGCCGCAGCTAAGCCCCGCCCACTTTTCTGCGCACCGCAAAAAAATGAGGAGAAATTCAGTACATTGAGGTCTGGTATAAAAGGGGCTGTAACTCGGGATTGAATGAAGATTTTTCCCTGAAATTTTGGGAATGGACTTCTATAAAGTAGGAGAATACAATCCAACAATAAAAACTGGGAAAAGTCTATTTTGAAAATTTTGTTGTGGTGCCTAATTATAATTTTACGATTTTTTGAATTGTTTGTGTTCTTACTAAATATTTAATGTATTTTTTGCATATTTTATTTTTTGACATAATAAACTGCATATATTATTTTCAACAGTGTTTCTTATCTCGTAGCTAGGCTTTGACGGCACGCTGACGTTCCGAAAATTCCCATTCCAAAAATTTTGAGTTCCAAACGTTGAATCCAAAAGAGACAAGCTAAGAAAAAAGGGGAACCATCAGCGGGGATCGAGCCTCCGACCTTCTGAATGCTAACCTAGAGCGTACCCACTACACCACGCGTGTTAGTGGCGACGACCGCGTTGATTTGTCTTATGAAGCGACGCCGCTGCAGCAAACGAGTGAGGAAATTACGGTCAGAAAAAAGCATTTTTTCGTCGGTGTAGTCTTTTTTCTGGTTTTTAATTACAAAACTATACTTATACTTTAGAGTTACCTCTTTTGAGAAAAAATAAAAATTTTGAAAATTTTGATGTCTCCCCTCCTTTAAAGGTGGGGAGACATGAGAAGAATAATGTTGTCGAAATTCCGTTTAAATATGCTCCTCGAGGAGTTGAACTTGTCGAGGCGAGTATTGAAGGTGCGGCGCCGCTACCGACTGAGCTACGCGTGCAAAGAGAAAGCCGCTGCTTGATTGCATACATAAAGGCGAGGACGACAGCTGTACGCAGAGTGACATTAAGCGTTGTACACCGTGACGGTAGAATCCATACTCTAGCTACAAAAATCCCCCGTAAAATCTCCTGTCCCCCCACCTTTAAGCTGAGGAATAGGTGGGCTTTTTCTGGAATTTGAGCTTTTGGTTCTAAATTGCCTGTTTGTCAAAAAAAAACATGCTTAGGAATTATCTGAATTTTCGAAAAGAAACAAATCGAGTTAATGTTGTTAAGACAGATGTCCGGACGTCCCAAGAGTCCAATAAAAAAGGGCGGAGCTATTCTCAAGACCATAAAACAACTAGAACCACCTGTCATTCATAATTTGGTTGTAATTTTCCTTGGGGGAAAAAGGACATTGAGATTACTGTAGATGAAATTTTTAGAAAGATTCAAAAATTGCTGTTTCAAAACTAAAAAAATGCTAAAATAGTTAGTTTACGGCCAATTAATTAAAAACATTAATTTTAATAACAATTTTCCTTTTTTTTCGAATTTTCAAAATATGTACTTGGGTCAAACTCCCCAGATCATTCTTAAACTTTACTTCCTTATCAGAAAAATAATTTTCTGATATCTTCTTCTGACATTTTTTGTGTTAATCATGGTCGAAGAAATCCAGTTTCTTATCATTTTATCATTTTGGTTATCTTTTTAACTAAATAAACGGACAGAAAGAAAACGGTGAAAGAATAGAGATCAGATATTGGTCCGGGAGGTTTGAAGGAATAAATAAAAATTACTGTTTCAAAATAAACCAAAAGTTTTGGAATTTTAGAATTTGGAGATTTTTCTATGAAAAATTGAAAAAATAAATAAATTGAATTTCCAGAAAATTTGAAAGTTCTAGAATCTAAAATTCCAAAAATTCTAAAATTCCAAAAATTCTAAAATTTTAAAATTCTAAAATTCTGAAATTCTAAAATTCTAAAATTCTAAAATTCTAAAATTCTAAAATTCTAAAATTCTGATGAAATTCTAAAATTCTAAAATTCTAAAATTCTAAAATTCTTAAATTCTTAAATTCTAAAATTCTAAAATTCTAAAATTCTAAAATTCTAAAATTCTAAAATTCTAAAATTCTAAAATTCTAAAATTCTAAAATTCTAAAATTCTAAAATTCTAAAATTCTAAAATTCTTAAATTCTTAAATTCTAAAATTCTAAAATTCTAAAATTCTTAAATTCTTAAATTCTTAAATTCTAAAATTCTAAAATTCTAAAATTCTTAAATTCTAAAATTCTAAAATTCTAAAATTCTAAAATTCTAAAATTCTAAAATTCTAAAATTCTAAAATTCTAAAATTCTAAAATTCTAAAATTCTAAAATTCTAAAATTCCAAAAATTCTAAAATTCCAAAAATTCTTAAATTCTTAAATTCTTAAATTCTTAAATTCTTAAATTCTTAAATTCTTAAATTCTAAAATTCCAAAAATTCTAAAATTCCAAAAATTCTAAAATTCCTAAAATTCTAAAATTCACTTTAGCATACTGTCATTTCCGTTTCTTCCGGAAATGACAGTATGCTACAGTATGCGTCGTAATAAAAATATGTTTATTTTTCTCCTTTTTCCACATAAAGAAAACTTTTTGTGTGATGATGATGAAGTTCTTTGCCAAATGAGGTTGTCAGAAGACACTTCCATGTTTTCTCTGCGTCTCTCTATTTCTCTCTATCTCTCTCTTATCATCTTCATCTCAATGAAACAGTATAAAAACGGGAATTCTTTTTGATCGACTCACACAAAAATGGTCAGAAATGTGGGCCGACGTGATTTTTTTGTAATTTTTTTGACCGAAAAAATTACTGTTTCAAAATTTCATATATTTTTTCTGAAATTTCAAGTTTCTTGATTTGTCTGGTGTGTATATTTTTTGTCTGAAAATCTTCTAAAAATTTACAACTTGAAATCTGAATTTTGCAGAAAAATGAAGCTCACGTTACTGCTGCTAGCAGTAGTTGTGGTCTATGTCGCTGCTCAAGGTGAGTAGAAACGATTTTTTTTTTCCAAAATATTGATTTTGAAGTTTTGAAACTAACAAATTCGGATTTTTCGCCTAAAACTACCCTAAAAAACTTTGGAAAAAAATTTGAAAAACCGAGAAAATTGAAGGTGGCCGAGTTTTTGGATTTTCTAGGCCACCATAAGCAAAACCTTGAAAAAATAGGCTTTTCTGGCAGTTTTTATTTTTTGAAACTTTGAAAATTGAAGTCTACGTCAAAATCTACCCCAGAAACGAAGAAACAACGGAGAAAAACCAGGTGGCTGAGTTTTTGAATTTTCTAGGCCACCATCGGTAAAGTTAGGCCATGAACGCTTTTGCGTCGGGAAATAGCATTTTCTAGGCTAATTTTTAACGGAAAATCCAAAAATTGCATTATTTTCACGAATAAAAATCAGTTTGAAAAGCTTGAAATGCTCATTTATCTAAAAATTGTAGATTTCTAGGCCACTATAGGGAATATATTGGAAAAAAGTGAATTTTTCCGCCAGTTTTCACGTTTAAAAAATTCAAATTTGAAATCTACGTCAAAAACTACGCTAGAAACATTGAAGAAAGCAAAAAATTGAAGGTGGCCGAGTTTTTGAATTTTCTAGGCCAACATCGGGAAAGTTAGGCCATGGACGCTTTTGCGTCAGCGATACATGTTTCAAGGCTAGTTTTAAATGGAGAACTCGAAAATTTGGTTATTTTCGCTCAAAAGTTTGACGAGAAAGCTTAAAATGCTCATTTATCCTAAATTTGGATTTTTCTAGGCCAGCAAGTCTTATTTTTCTACTTTTCTACCCATTTCGCTAACTTCAGCGTTTTGAAAATACGAAATTCAAATTCACCGTCAAAATCTACGTCAGAAACCACAAAAAACGAAAAAAAACCCTGATGGCCGAGTTTTTGGATTTTCTAGGCCACCATTGGAAAAGTTAGGCCATCAACGTTGTTTGGTCGGTGATACATGTTTCTAAGCTAGTTTTTAACGAGGAATCCGATTCTTGCATTTTTTAAGCTTGGAAATCACCAGAATTTGAGATAAAATTCAAAAATTAGTTTTTAAAATTCTAATCCCACAAAATTCAATTTCCACTCGCACCCATTTAATTTTTTAACACAGGATCTCCTGGACGTCAAGGTGATGATTCAGGTGACGGTTTGTTCGGTGGAGCCGATGCTGGAAGCGGTGGCTCTGGAGGCTGGGGCGACGCCAGCGCGTCCGCCGGGGCCGGAGCCTCTGCCGGTGGGCGTGGCGGTGGCCGAGGCGGTGGACAAGGTGGATCTGGGAGAGGTGGAGGTCGTGGTGGTGGTCAAGGAGGACAAGGAGGTCAAGGTGGCGGTCAAGGTAGTTTTTTTTTGTTTTTTAAAATTTGGAATTAAAAAAAAATTTCAAAAAAAAAATTGAAATTTTGAAATTTTCCCAACAGGCGGTTGGGGCGGATCCCAAGATTCTGGATCTAGCGGACAAGGTGGATGGGGAGGATCATCTGGAGGTCAAGGTGGAAGCCCAGGTGGATGGGGCGGAGATTCGGGATCCCAAGGAGGATCTCAAGGTGGATGGGGTGGTTCCCAGAATGGTGGACAAGGTAGTTTAGTTTGCAATTTTCCAGATTTTTCTTTTGATTTTAGTGGAAAACTGATGCGAATTTTGAATTTTCTGTAAAAAATTGGTTTAGAACACAGACAATGATGAGATAACGTTTAAGGAAAATTTAGAAAAACTTTTAAAAAAATTTTGAAACAGAAAGTTTTTTTAAACAAAATTATGAATTTTTCAGACTTCCCACTGCTTTAAGTTTGAAACAAATGCAAAATGCAAATTCCTCGCAAAAAACTAGCCTAGAACCATGTATTTTTGATGAGAAAAGGTTCATGGCCTAACTTTCCAAATGGTGGCCTAGAAAATTCAAAAACTCGGCCACCTTTATTTTTTGTGTTTTTGCGGTTTCTAAACTAGTTTTTGGTGTTGATCTCGATTTTCGTGTTATTAAAAACAAAAAATTAGCATTAACAGTAGAAAAATCCATTTTTAGCATCAGGTGACCTAGAAATCACCCCAAACCTAGGCCATCGCCGTTTTTTTAGAATTTTCGGAGTTTTCGGTCGATTTTTAGAAAAAAATAACTGGGAATTCGAATTTGCGGTTGAAAATCACCCTAGAAACGTGTCTCAAAGAAGCAAAGGCGTTCATGGCCTAACTTTCCGAATGGTGGCCTAGAAAATTTAAAAACTCGGCCACCTTCAAATCTTCTTATTTTTCATGGTTTCTAGGCTAGTTTTTGACATAGATCTCGATTTTCGTAGTTTCGAAACGTAAAAACTGCCAAAAAGGTAGCCTTTTTCAACGTTTTGCCTATGGGGGCCTAGATTTTTCAAAAACTCGGCCACCAAACTTTTTGACTGATTTCGTTTTTGTGCTAGAGTAGTTTTTGACGCAAAATCTAAACTTTTCAATTTTGAACCCCATAAATCAACAATTTTACAGGTGGAAACTCCGGTGGATGGGGAGGATCTCAAGGTGGACAACAAGGTGGAGGTGGTCGTGGTGGGCAAGGAGGACAAGGTGAGATTTTCGGACTTCCTTGTTGGTTTTTTTTGCAGAACAAATGCGAAATTTGAATTTTGACTGGAAAATTGGTCTAAAACAAAAAAAAGCACAAAACGCTTTAGGTCGAACTTTGAAAATTTAAAAAATTTTGAAACAGAAACTTTTCTTGACGAATTATTTCAAAATTTCTATGGGTTTCCACTTATTTCAGCACAAAACAAATGCGAAATTCAGATTCCTTGTTAAAAATCACTCTAGAAACAGGTATTACCGACCTGAAAGCGTTCATGGCCTAACTTTCCAAATGGTGGCCTAGGAAATTTCCAAAACTCGGCCACCTATGATTTTTCCCGTTTTTCACGTTTTTTAGACTAATTTTTGACATAAATCTCGTTTTTTGCGTTTAAAAAACTTTTAAAAAATCGATTTTCAGTAGAAAATAGACATTTAAACATCAGGTGGCCTAGAAATCCCCTCAAAACTAGGTCATCTCTGTTTTTCGAGGTTTTTTCGAGTTTCCTGGTAATTTTTTAGAGAAAAATAGTTACAAATTAAGATTCCTCGTTAAAAACTGGCCTAAAAACATGTTTTTTCAAGGCGAAAGCGTTCAGGGCCTAACTTTCCAAATAGTGGCCTAGGAAATCCAAAAACTCGGCCACCTATGATTTTTCTGTTATAGTTTCCCGACTAATTTTTTGCGTGAATTTCGATTTTTACGTTTTAAAAACTCTAAAAAATCGATTTTCAGTAGAAAATAGACATTTTACTATCAGGTGGCCTATTAATCCCCCAAAACTCGTTGTTTTATTCGAATTTTCCAGGTTTCCGGTTGGTTTTTGGGCAAAAATAATTAGAAATTCGGATTCCTTGTCAAAATTTACCTCAGGGACATGTATCGCTGACGCAAAAGCGTTCATGGCCTAACTTTCCGAATGGTGGCCTAGGAAATCCAAAAACTCGGCCACCTTCAATGTTATTTGTTTTTTCACAATTCTAGGCTAGTTTTTTGCGTAGATCTTGATTTTTTTGTTTTTGAGGCTCTTAAATGCCAATTTTCAGTAGAAGATAGACATTTAAGCATCCGGTGGCCTAGAAAAACACGCAATAATTCAAATTTTGAAATTCGAAAATTTTTTCAGGAGGCTGGGGAGGATCCCAAGACTCTGGATCTGGAGGACAAGGTGGATGGGGAGGATCCCAAGGAGGCAACCAAGGAGGAAATCAAGGAGGATGGGGGGGACAAAATGGCGGACAAGGTAAGTCCAACTAAAATTTCGATAGTGGCCGAGTTTTTGAATTTTCTAGGCCACCATTTGAAAAGTTAGGCCATGAACATTTTTCTGCCCTTTTTTTTTTTCAAAATTTGGGTTTCAGGAGGCTGGGGAGGAAACCAAGGTGGAGGTCAACAGGGTGGAAATGGAGGAGGACAAGGTGAGTAGTAATAAAACTACAGTAATCCAAAATTTCGAAAAATTACTGTTTCGAAATTTTTAGAAAATAATGTTTGTTTTCAAATTTTCGATAGAGTTGTTATCAATCCTAAGTTGCGTTGAATTTTGTCAAAATCTACCGCAGAAACCATGAAAAACCAAAAAATTGAAGATGGCCGAGTTTTTGGATTTTCTAGGCCACCGCTTGGAAACTCAGGTAAACGATTCTGAATTAGACCTGACTTCATTCGGAATTAGATCTGGGTTCGTTCGTAAATAGAAGTGGCATGATCTAATACAGAATTTAGCTGATCTAATTCCGAACGAACACCGATTGAACTACGAACGAATTAGATCTAATTCCGAACAGACCAGCGGGATTTCGGAGCATCGTAGCGCGCGCTTTTCAAATTTGGTTTTCTTTTCAACCCCATTCACTTTATTTATAATAAAATTTATTAAAAAAGAAAACAGAACAAGTCGAAAAATTATGTTTATAAGGTAGTTTTTAACAAGGAATCTGAATTTTTTGTTAGTTAGACTGGAAAATCGGCCCAAATCTAGAAAAATGCACATGACCGAGTTTTTTTTTTGAATTCTAGGCCACGTGTGCCGAATTGCGTTTTTCCTACGAAAAGCACTCATTCTTGAGTCCACAATTTACGAGAATTGGAATTTACGTCAAAATGTACCCCAGAAACCAAAAAAAAAAACGGAAAAATCGAAAGTGGCCGAGTTTCGGAATTTCCTAGGCCACCATGGAGAAAGTTAGGCCATGAACGTGTTCGCATCGAAAAAGTTGTTTCTAGGATATTGTTCAACAAGGAATTTGAATTTTTGTTAGTTAGACTGGAAAATCAACCCAAAACTCAAAAAAAAAATTAATTTTTTAAAAAGATGGCAAAGTTTTTGGGGAATTATAGGCCATCTGATGCCAAAATGCCATTTTCCAGTGGAATCGCTCATTTTCTGGTTTTAAAAGCACAAAAAACGGAATCTACGTCAAAAACTGGCCTGGAAACTACAAAAAACCAAGAATTGAAGATGGCCGAGTTTTGAAATTTTCTAGGCCACCATCGGGAAAGTTAGGCCATGAGCGTTTTTCGAAAAAAAAAAGTTTTTGTTATCGAAAAAAAATGTTTTCAGGGTAGTTTTCAACAAGAAATCTGAAAAAATTGAAGGTGGCCGAGTTTTGGAATTTTCTAGGTCACCATTTGGAAAGTTAGGCCATCAACGTTTTCGCATCAAAAATAGATGAGTCTAGTGTTTTTGAACGAGAAATTCAAAATTTTAATTATTTTTGCCCAAAAATCAAGGGGAAGTTCAAGAAATGCCAACTTTTCAGGAGGATGGGGAGGAAATTCCGGAGGCGGTGGAGGCGGAGGACGTGGTGGACCACAAGGACCTGGCGGACAAGGTGGATGGGGTGGACGTGGTGGAAACGGAGGAGGCGGATGGGGTGGTTAGTTTTTTTTTTTCTAGAAATTCAAAAAAAATTTCACTGCAATTTTTTCACCGAAATTCGTCAGCACAGCACTGCACTAAAAACTACAAGAACTACAGTAATCCTTGAAAAACACAACTAAAAAAAATTTTTGTAATTTTTCAAAAAAAAATTGCACAGGTAGTCGTTGGGGTGGAAGAGGTGATGGTGAGTAGACTAATTAATTGCCTAATTAACTTTTTTTCTTAATTTTCTGTTTTGTTAAATGTGGTTTTTTGAGTTTCTTAATTAGGGTAATTAACTAGATTAATTAAAAATTTCAAATTTCCAGGATGGGGACGATTCGGACCAGGAGCCCGTTGGGGATGGGGACGCCCATCGTGGGGTGGATGGGGAAGAGGATGGTAGAGAGCAGCAGATACAGTATTCCCCAAAACTACAGTAACCCATTTTTCGCAATTATCATATCTGAAATATAACGTGTATGCTTTTAATTGTTCAATTTTGGAGTTTTTAATAAATGTTTGTTTTTTAGAATTTTAGGATACCTGAAACTATGAACCACTGAACTTCCTAAATTTTCTAAATTTTTGAAACAGTAATTTTTATCAAAAATAAACATGGACTTTAAATTTTTTTTTTGGTTTTTTAATTCACAAAAATCAGAAGTTTCAATTTTGGTTCCTTATTTTAAAAGAAGCTGTAATTTGAAAAATTTCTTAAAATGGACTTTCCAGTTTTTTCCTATCAAGTACCAATTAAAATGTAAATTTCGAAAGTCAGAAGCTCAAAAATTTGTAACAGTGAATTTGTTTTCTGAAAAAAGTTCCGAAATATATTTTTGATGATTTTGCAATAATTAGAACATTTTCAGTTATACATTTTTTTCAAATTCCATTTTTTAGTTTTTAGAAATTCATTAAAAAAACATTAAACTCAGAAATTTCAATAAATCGAAATTGGGAATTTAAAAATCTTCGGGACTTTTAGAAATTTTGAAACAGTAAAAAAATTGAAAAAAAATCCAAAAATTGTATTGTGACAGAGTACAGTAGTTTGTGAAAAAGGGGAGCTTCCTTGTGAGAAAAAGTGGGCGTGGCTTGTCCAGATGGATCGGATTGGCTAACATTTTCGTACTTTCTCTCTATTTCTCTTTCTCAAGTTTCGAAAAATCCGGAAAATCAGAAATTCAGAAATTTAGAAATTCAGAAATTCAGAAATTCAAAAATTCAGAAATTCAGAAATTCAGAAATTCAGAAATTCAGAAATTCAGAAATTTAGAAATTCAAAAATTCAGAAATTAAGAAATTCAGAAATTCGGAAATTCGGAAATTCTGAAATTCAGAAATTCTGAAATTTAGAAAATTAAGAAATTCAGAAACTTAGAAAATTCAGAAATTCAGAAATTCAGAAATTCAGAAATTCAGAAATTCAGAAATTCAGAGATTCAGAAATTCAGAGATTCAGAAATTCAGAGATTCAGAAATTCAGAAATTCAGAAATTCAGAAATTCAGAAATTCAGAAATTCAGAAATTCAGAAATTACAAGTATTGTCGGATTAAAAAAAGTGACACCTGAAAATCTCGGAGACGGCGCTCGTGTCGATTTACGAGGGGGCGGAGCGAAAACGGATACTGTATATAACAAATTTATTTATGTGAATTTAGTGGGATTTTCTGAACAAAATTTTGATTTCTTGGTCTAAAAATGATCGTTAGAATCTCTAGAATCTATTTTTCAGCAAAAAAAACTAAACTTAAACGCAAAAGTAGCTCGAACGAGCCGAAATTCTGAAATATTACGTTATAGAATATCTGTAATTCCACTATTTATTTTTCGATTTTTTCTCAAATTTCCCCCAAAATTTCAAATTCTCTCCCCCCAATCAATCAATCATATTCCCATTCTGTGTCAAAACCCAAAGTGATAATCCATCAAAACTTTTGCTCTGTGAGCCCGTGGGCAATATGATTGCTCAGCATTAAATTCTTGTCAATTTCTCTCAAAAAAAAACCAGGAAATTTCAGCTAATTTTCGATTGTTTTCAATGTTGAAAACATTCGAAAATTCCAGCCAATTTGCTATAATTTTTAGAGTCTATATTTTCTATTTTTTTTCTGTTTTTATGGATTTTTGGTCCCCTTCTCCCCCCTTCTTTTTTTCATCTTTTAGAATAGGCGAAATCTAAAAATAATTCAATTATCATTATTATTTTTTTCTGTTTTTCTCGCCTTCTTTTTTATTTTTCGTCTGTTTTTTCCCTTTTTTAAGATTTTTCAGTTTTTTTTTAAATCTTTTATTATTTTTCGAATTTCAGAATTTTCTACTATTTAAAAATAGAATATTCCAGTTGATATTGGTTTCAAAAAATTACTGTTTCAAATTGTTTCTTTTTTTAAATAATTCCAAATTTGAAGTCTATATTCGAAGTTCAATTGAAAATTGTTTCAAATGTGGAATCTATCGAAAAAATGTTCTTTTTATTCCAATTTTTTTCAAAATTAAATTGCTGTTTCAAAGTTTCAATATCAAAAATAACACTTTTTGAAAGTTAAAGGTGGGGGGACATGAAAAAAATAATGTTCTCGAAATTCCGTTCAAAGATGCCTCTCGAGAAGTTGAACTTGTGAGGGCGATGATTGAGGGTGCGGCGCCGCTACCGACTGAGCCACGCGGGCAAAGAGAAAGCGCACGCCCGATTGCATACATAAAGGCGAGGGCGACAGCTGTACGCAGAGTGACATTAAGCGTTGTACACCGTCACGGTAGAATGCATACTCTAGCTACAAAAAACTACGAAAAATCTCCTGTCCCCCCACCTTTAATATGTATTTCCAGAAATCCAACATTAGTGGAAACTTTTATTTTAACACTGTTTTTACTTTGTGTCCTCGTCTTTGAAAAGTTGGATTGAACTTTTTAATTTGAAATTTTTTTTTTACTTTTCTAATTAAAAAAATCAGATACAGTACAAAGTAATTTTTTGAGAATTCCGAAAAATTGAGAAAAGTCTGAGTGGAAAAATCCACTTTTCTGAAAATTCAAAATTTTCAACATTCTTAGATTTTTTGAAACAGTAATTTTTTGAAATGATTTTAATTTCGAGAAATAGAAAATTTGGAATCTCTAGAAAGAATTCGATATTCGACGGTTGATTAACAAATATTTGTTTATATTTTCACATAAAAGTTTTGAAACCGTAATTTTCAAAAATTTCAAGAATGGCATCATAAAATGTTTTGGATACAGCAACAAAAAAAACTTGAGTTTTGGAAAATTTGAAAAAAAAAATATTTGGAAACAGCAAATTTTTTAATTAATTAATTTTTTTCAAGAAAGTGGAAGACCGTTTTCCGGTGTTTGGAAAATGATTTTCTGAAAGACTGGAAAGGATTTTCATAGTGATTATATGCATTTTCAGTCTTTTTTTGCTCAGAAACCCAGTTTTAAATCAAAAAAAAAATTTCAGACTTTCAGAAAATTATGTTCCAAACATCGGAAAACGGTTTTCCCCTTTCTTGCATACGGCCTCAGTAGTTTTTAAATTTGAAAAAAAGTTTCGATTTTTTGAAAAAGTGATTGATTCAACAACTTCAAAACACTAATTCCATTGAAGCACTGTTAAAATAATAGTTTTCAATAATTTTAGATTTCTTTGAAACTCCAATTTTTTAATTTTTTGACTCTTTATGACAAGGGGGGGGGGGGGGGGTTCCATGAGAAACGGCCAAGTGGGAAAATAATGACAAAGTTGAATTTTGCCGTTTTTTCTTGTTTTGCGGTTGTTTTCATGAAAATTTCAAACTTTGAACATTTTTCATCACTTTTTGAAATTTTCAGTTTATATCATTTTTCGTTTCTTGTTTTGTAACTAAGCCTAAATTATTAGGTTGGCGGGAAAGTCTTTGTCACTTTTTCAATAGTTTATTTCTCAAAGAAAAAATAGCCGAATAATTAATTATATTGTCCATCATTATCAACAACATGTCTCCAACGTTCCCTCAATTTATGGATTCCATTGCGGTAGAATCCAGCCGGGCGTGAGGCAAAGTATTGTTTGAGTGCCGCTTCGACCGCTCCACGGGAATTGAAGCTTCTTCCTTCGAAGGCACGTGTCATATCGCCAAATAACCAATAGTCGGAAGGAGCAAGATCAGGAGAATACGGGGGGTGAGGGAGAACATTCCATCCATATCCCATCAGCTCCTGCTTCACTTGTTTCGAAACATGTGGGCGAGCGTTATCATGTTGATAGTACACTTTCTTGTCTTTCAGGGCCGAACGGTCGACTGCTTTCTTGAGGTTTCGTAGGTGAGTAGTGTAGAGGTCTCCAGTTATTGTTTTGCCCTCGGGCAGAAGTTCCCAGTAGATGGGGCCGTCCACTCCCCACCACACAGAGAGCATAACTTTTTTCGGATGAAGGCCGGGTTTGGGGACATCCTGTGGGCTCTCTCCTTCTCCAACCCACTGGGATTTCCTGTGGTGATTATCGTAGAAGACCCACTTCTCATCTCCGGTTATTAGCCGGTCCAGCCATCGATCGCCCGCGTGGAGAGTGAGAAGAGTAATCGAATCGTCGACTCGGCGGTCAAGGTTGGCTTGAGTCAGGTGATGAGGTATGAATCGACCAAAAAGTTTTCTCATTCCAAGAGACTTCAAACCTTCAAGGACTGTGCTATGGTGAACTCCGAATGTGACAGCTAGTTCACGGCTAGATTGAAATGGATCCGATTGCAATGCGTGCTTCAGCTTGTCCAAATCCAACTCACGGGGTCTCCCAGAGCGATCCTTTTCATCGAGCGAGAAGTCATCTTTTTCGAAACGATGGAACCAATTGCGAATAGTATTGTAGTGAGGGGCATGTGTGTTGTACACATTCTTCAAGAAAGTTTCCGAATCCTTCATCGTGGTGTGAGATAGGAAGAGGTAAATCAAAACATGTCTGATGTGAATAGCAGTGGGAACAAACATATCGTTTCAATTACAGATGAGGAGCAGGGAAGGAAATGGGGACTTGTTTATATGGAAGGTTCTTATCACCTTGTTATTCACTAGAGTCGATATCATACACAGCCTCCATATACGAGAACAGTGATTAAACAAACAGAGTGACAAAGACTTTCCCGCCAACCTAATAAGATGACATAGCTGAATAAAATAAAATTACACAGTTCTAATCTCAAAATGTGAAAATACATTTTTGGCACTCTTCCTTCGATCGAATTTGTAGAAAAAAGCTTTTCATAATTTCCAAAGTTTGAAAATTGTTGTTGTACTTTTAATGATTTTTTAAAAATAATCTAGAAAATTACTGTTTGAAACCCAAAAAATGGAAAATCGTTTTTCTGAATTTCTGAATTTCTGAATTTCTGAATTTCTGAACTTCTGAATTTCTGAATTTCTGAAT